ACTTAGTAACTAACTGTAACTAACTGTCCAACCGTCCTAACTCGTAAAGTTGCATTATGGGATGTATCGTGTTACCCTGAGATCACTACGCTCTCTTGCGTAATCATGCGAAATGGAGGGCGCCCGCAGCAACTGAGTTAAATACAATTGGGCAGCAATCACCAATGTGATTGCTCATATAGCCAAGGGAATACTTTCATATACTTTTAAGTGTATCTCAGACTGGCGACACTGTGACTACACTGCCCCACAGGAAAGAAGTGTGTAAGTGTACAGATATGCACTGTAATAGAGCGACCGTTTATGCTCTGATTAAGTTGCTTTCAGAGGGGCGAATTATGTAGGCGCATAAGTGTGCACTTTGATGGTCCATGGTTGTGTACAGTAGGATCGATGATAGCTGGTAAAATTTGGCTGTGATGTATATGTTGGGATGGGAGTTTTGTAAAATCTCAATTCTTCATCAGCGATCGCAAGGTTCCGTCCTGCTAGAGCCGTGGTGCTTTTCCATTGGCTGAAACAGTTTAAACAAACTTCTGGTGCTGTTCAAATGACATTCGATTCAACAAGAGCTCCATCACGGCACAAATCACGGCCCTCCGTTATTGCCGTCTCACCTGTCCCTGATAGACTCTCAGCAACCATGTTTCAACCAGTGAAGGCGGAACCCGCAGCTGTCATGTATCAAATCATTTCCGGTATAAAATTGCACAAGAGAAACTCGTGGATAAGATTCCTACCGAGATCAATAACATGCCTATTTCTTCGAGAAAAATATTACACACAGAGGAAACAAAAAATACAGTGAATTCATCATTGAAAGAGAAAGAAAAACTGAAGGAAATCATATTTCCATAGTTTTTTTTGCCATCGTCGTTTATATTGGTTCACGCTAGATGTCCCCGTTTCTCAAGATGTCATTTATGGTTGGAGCACTTACTGGTGAACTAAATGTTCACGGAATGTGTGGATGTTTACTGCAATGAAAGAGAGGGACGCACAACTCAAATTGGTCATTCTCCAAATAATTTTAGCTTGAATAATTTTAGAACAACGCATAAACTATGTAACACGCATTAGAAAGCGCGAAAATCCAACCTTTATGGCACCTGTATCAAGGATAATGTTTCATTGCACGCTTTTCAACTTGCCTTATTTGTCTAGTGTGTTACAGCGTAAGAGAGAGCGCGTCTGCTCACATAGACGAAGCGTATTTTCCGTCGTCGCGAATTCGGAACTCGCTTGGTTTCTGTTTAAATGTTCGCAATGTGTGGGTCATTTATTTGCGATATGGAGTGCTTTCGACAAATTGTCAAGTGGTAGTAGCTCAAAATCCAAGTCCTCTACCAATCAGTCGGATTACAGTTGCACCCCACCAAAGTTGTTCAATGAACATTTCACATATTTTGGCAGCAATTTTTGTCGTTTCCCCAGTTGACTGGCGCCGCTATTATAACACACTATTTAGCTAAACATTAAGACTGAGTCAAGATAAAAGCTGGAAAGACTATCCCACCATTTAGTATCCCTTACGATACTAACGAATATATTTTTACATAACTAAATACACATTTTACTATTCTATCCATACCTGTCAATCATCTGATACGTTTATAATAGTGAAAGTGATTTAATTTGTTCAAGGAATAAGATTCCAATAAATGCCCAATGTCAATAACACTAATTCAGTATCTGGTGAAATAAAAACAACATATTCACGAATGACAAATACTTGCAAAAGCGGGCTCCCTTGTGTGTGAATGAAAAGCACACAAGTTTAGGTATTGAGGCCAAAACAATTATTACGAGGCACGTATTGTATCATCCGAGTGGCACTATGGTATGTTCCAATTGAGTGTCGTGATGCAATACATCATTCGAATGCACTGAATACAGTGTTATCATTTGTTGAAATAATTATGACATTAACCTGAGGCCCACGTTTCGCACCAGCCATGTAAGATATCAACAGTTTTATTCAAACGGTTTCTAAATGAAATCTGAGTTTTATACTAGATTTGTGACATTGATGGCATCTGAGTTATTACAGTGCTATTGTATTTTAATAACACACACATTTTTTTTGGCAAAAAATACGTTTGAATGTTAAGGCGAGTTGTTTTCTACAAAATCTTGGTTTTAATTTTGTTTAAGTCTGCATATTTATCCGGTCGGGCATAGCAGATATATACCCCAGGTAGGTGAGTATGGGGTATGGCTGCAAAGGTGTAAATTTAAATCATCTCATTTGTCATATTTGAAGCAGAAGAAACAAATTCAGAAGTTCCTTAACCACAAGTTCAGCTTCAACATATCAGAATGTGAAATTAAAGGATTTCACTTTCCTCTCTATAGCTTTTGTTTTTAACTAGAAATGTTGCTTCATACGATTGAAGCAATAAATCGGCCAGCAAGGAGACGCAATTTCAAAATACCGAAACGTTGTTGAAAAATATATCCTTCAAATTTGACAATTATGTTGTTATTATGATATTTTAGCTTACCGATCATGCATTTTCAATGTACAACAGTTTGAGTGAATAGCGCCCACTATTGTTCACTATTTTAACTAAGGAAAAAACAGTAATAATATTATTATATATATTATATTAAAGAAATTGCATATTGTTGTTACTTTCAGTCAGCTATTTATTCTATCTCAAGTCTAGTTAGTCTCTATAGGCTTATTCATAAATTTATTATCGACTTGTGGCGTTTAAAATCACCGGGATAACACCCAAAAGCCGTCTCATTTGTCTTGCCCATAAGCAGAAACCACAGTTGATGCTGACACTGATTTTCAGTTGAGAAACGGGTAAACTCTTATAAATTTGAAAAAAAGCGAAAATAGCGCAATACGCATAGTGTAAACTATATAACAGTGTAAGATAAAGTCCATAACTTTCGTAATAAATATGGTTGGATCTAATGCATACTTAAACCGGGAGGGTCGTCAACCTGTGCACGCGCGGGAATTGAGTTCCAAGCGACGATAAAAACACACGCTAAAAACGCAAAGGCCCCAGGGTAGACGCTTGCTTATAAACAATGACACGCTATGGCCATCTGACGCATGCGCAGATGACGACTACCCCACTTTAAATATTGAATGTTAAACTGACTATAAACGTTGTATATGTCACAAAATGGTTTAGCACACTCCTCATAATAGTTAAACTTGCATTTCACTGATTGTAAGCAGAACACTTGCCACTGATTATTAGATCTCCATGCAACATGATAAAATCAGTTGGTATGGCAACTATTAATATAATAGATTAATACAGTTTTTTTAGATGATGTAACACTCAAAGTGCATATACATGCTCATGAAATTATATAAGACAAACAATTTACTTCAAATAAACAACTCACGGTAATAAATCGGACATCTATGTTAAATTTATAGCATACCTTGTCTTGTGGAACGGAAACATTGTGACTACCTATCATAGATAAAAAGCTACTATTTCATGCTTGTCGGAACTGTCGTAAAATATTCAATATTTCCGCTAATAAATATACAATAATGTCATGTTATGTTTGAATGCTTGTACAATGTACACAATTAGGAATACATACTTTTCATATAAATACAGAAATTATCCATACACATCTCAGTTTGTCGAGCGTGATAAGTGTTATGTCTCGTAGTATTTCGATCAATATACTATGGTGGGAGCAACATGTATCACTGACGAATGGTGAATGTAATTTAAAGGTAAGTGAATAGGGTTAACTCACATAAAACACATAATACTTGACAAAATATTATAGAGTATTATAACTACTACCTGCATCACTATCATCCATAGTTTGATAACGTTTTCTACGCAATTGATCTTAATACCACGTGTGCATACTAAATACGCGGTCAATATCTTTATTGTCTTGAAAGTATCTTTCACATATCCGGTAGAAAAACTGTAATTTTATAATATAGCTAAAACAGAATAACTGTCATATGCACATCTATACATCATAGATGTATGTTCTCAATTTCACTGTCAGGTGTGGTCCATAGTCATGTCCATTACTAGATGAATGAATAATTCCTAAACATTTTATAACGAGGGCGCAATTCAAGGACACTTCGAATAAGATCTATTCTCTCACAGACAGCGATGTGATATATGAACAACCATACAAATAGTTAATCTTTGTCCCTAAAAAAGTTTGCTTCACATTGGTAAAATCGAAACATAATAAAACACCCAAGTTACCGAGAAACAAAATGCAAAATGCTACATACTATGAATCGCCGCAATTGTTTTTAAATGCGCAATGCCGGAATTTCAATGAGTTTTTTACAAATAACATTTAAAAAAAATAGTAATCGGTCGGTCTGTGTTATATATATTGTATAATGTCTGTGAACTTTGCGGTGAGTGCATAGTTATGTAAATTAAACATTATCCCAACTTTCTGTCTGATGTTTAAACTTAAATGGCGTACAGTGTAACAATGTGTCAAATAATTAAGTTTGTAAACTATTTAAAGTATTTACCACAAAACCATGTACAAACATCAGTGAACGCCCCATAGAGTGTGCCAAATTCAAATCGACTACAATCTTAGAACAGTTTATGTTTGAAACTTTCTGACCGAAGACGAAATTGTGTAATCACCTGTCTAAATATAAACACCAACTGAACACCCATGAACTTACGTTGTTTAATTAGGGCAATGTGTTTAGCATAATATGAACTAATCATAACATAAATAATTTATCCAAATACTAAATATTTAGGTCGTACGTACATAATATAATATTACTGTGCAGTATAAAACACAACACACACGAGTACATCTTGGTGGTAGAATGAATGGGGGGGGGGGGTAATGCCACGTCGCGTTAAATATGTTTTTTAACGTAGTGTCTTCCCACCAGCTCCACAGGTGTGTTGTGATATTGTACAAAAATAAAAAGCTGTTTTTTCAAATCATCAGATGCTAGTGTGTATTTAAGTAGTAAATTAGGTGGGATTGGGGGGGGGGGTAATACTACGTCGTATAGTACATTATTTTAATATACCGCCCCTTCCATGATATGATCAGAGACAGGAACATCTCTACCGGCGTGTTGTGACACAGGCGTTCAAGTGTGGATTTTGGAGGTTGAGTGGGTGAAATGAGGGTCATGCCACGTCATATATGGTAAATTATGACAGTGTCTTTTTCATATGGTCGCTGACAGAAACGGTTCCACGGATGAGTTGTGTTATCGCCATAGACTGGCAAGATAATTAAACCAGCCCATCTGCTGATTGCCGATAACCCACAAACGACAATGTAGCAAACACGGATGCCAGGAGAGGATGTTTACACTAGGCTTATCAACTGAATAAATATTTTGTGCGCGGTGTTACGAAACCCATGAACACAGAGGGCTGTTTGTTGCAGCTGTCTACGTTATGGTGGAATCAATATTCGTACGCAACATATCTCACGGACCATGTCATGTTTGTTCATTTACACTCACTTAGATATTTTGAAAAGCCAATTAAATGTAACACACAGATGTGGTGGCGCTACAAGTGACTCCATTCCACATATCGGGGGGGGGGTCATTTGATATTCGACAAAATGATGACACATCGAAGAAAACATTTTGAATTATTCAGAATACATTGTAATAAAATACTTTAAACAAAAAGGGAAAAGCAGTAATATTTGTTGGAGCACACATAATGCTGCAGATATCTCGATACGCCGTATTGTAAAAAAGAGTGGGGGTTTGAATATTGAGGGCGCTGTCAGTATGTTATCCTCCTATTTTAAATAAATATATATATATATTTTTAATTCTACTTCAGATGTTACAGTTAATTATAATGAAAATCCACGGGGATGTCGTTAGTTTGCTTGTTCGCGTTTCGTCTAATATCAGTGAGGTCTATGAAGAGTATGTTACTCGTGGTCGATCAAAGTCTCTTGGAAATAAATTAACGATGCATAGCATTAATATTGTTTGTATATTAGTTAGTTCACATCGTGCTTAATTTATTCACATTAGTTGTAGGATCCACATGTATCAATCCTTGTCAATGGGCTCGGTATTTGATGGATCACTAATTTTAGCTCTATGCAAATTCCCCATTATACTTGGATTTAGTATGTACGTAGTACATAAATGTTCAATATTACGAATAATCATGGTAAAACTCATGAGTTCAAATAGCAATTTTACCTTGATTCCATACAAACCCGATCCCTATGAATTGTAATTTCGAAATTGCTTTATGTATTTTGAATATATAAATTATCATTTATATACCGAGATATAAATGGCAATTCCATTCAATTTAAATTAATCGTACAACAGTTTGGTTTCAGGTACAAATCCGAATATGATGGTTTGGTTAATTTAAACAGTGCATTGCTATTACTGCGATTCAGTATATCTAAATAAAATATTACGTAAATGCATTTGATTGACAGATGAATTCTAGTATTCTGTTTATTCTATAAATACCTGGATATGAGTATATTGCATCTCATCTCTAACTATACTAATATCACAGTACAGACATAATAGACAACTTCTAGGTTATTGTTTGGTACAAACATATGCAAATCAAATTACATTCTGATAAACAGCTCAAATATAAGATGATCTTGTAGTAATAACACTGTTACACAAATGATTTAAGATTGCATCAATGTTATTTGTCTAATGTAGACATTGGGTTTTAAACACCATTTGATTAGATTTTAGAGACCATTTGATTAAAGCGGGAGGGTCGTCACCTGCGCACGCGCGGAAATTGAGTCCCATGCCACGATAACAACACACGCTAAGAACGCAAAGGCTCGTGGGTAGACGCTTGTTTGTAAACAATGACACGCTATGGCCACATCACGCATGCGCATGTGACGACTCCCCCGCTTTAAGACTCAGATAGACGTAAAACGGGCTCACTAGTTTCAAAAAAACCTAAAATTACTTTGTGTATAACATACAACTCAATATATCTTTCTCTTAGACTCTACTTTGCAGTGTTCTTGTCAGTTTTTTTTTTCTTGTAGATTGTTTTGTCGTTTATTTTATGTTCTTCACAGTCCCTCTATCTGAGGGACTGTGTGTTCTTTTTTTTCCCTCCAAGACTTGTGGTTACATAACTACAATTAGGTGAATTATTTCATCGTATCATAAGGGTATGTGTGTACTCGGTGTATATTTAAACATGTGCCAGCAAATGGTCTGAATGATTTAATGTTCAACCAATCAGACATGCAGAAGGTACCTATCCAATTTAAAAATAAGATATGAGTTCGAATCGTGTATTAAATAAAGATAATATTTTATTTACCACATAAATAAGAATTCTTTACATCGAATAGACTTGACAATTCATGCTTAGCTAGCTTTCCACTCTAATTAAAATATTAGATACACGCTGAATAATTCCATTTTCCTATTATAATATCAGTAGTGTACATGTAGAAGTGAAAGTTCTATTATCTATTGTCGATAAATGTAAAATGCTTTATTTTTTTGTTTTAGCTTTAATCCAATGAAATATATGCAAATAACGTATTTAAAAAAAAATACCACACTATTTTGATCATGGTTGTACTATACTCTACCCAGGCTAATCAATTGATTTCACGTGTTGTTTCCAATCTGGTCACATGTTTCTCACACGGACACGACGCACGGCAATACATCAGACACTGTCATAGTTATCTGAAAATCTAGACCAATTAGCACTTGTGTTGGAAACACAAAACGCTCACGCGACATTCTTACTGATATATATCGGCACATGTATTTTCTCCACCATTATCCATTCGGTTACTGGTGTGCGTAGAACCGAAGATATGACCAAATTGTGGTTTTTGATTGTGTCTGTGTTCGCTGTGGCAATAGCCGTGGAACAGCGAGGTAAGTTTATAACAACGTACACAATATATTCGAAAGCGCCACAGTCTTGCAACGCGCGTGTGAATTACCTGTAAATAAAGTGTACCTCCCCACGTGATGTATACGTCGTGTGGGACTCATAATAAACACGAAGCGGTGCAACAATTATGGCGTTTTAATTATTCTGATAATGAATCTTTTTCAATCGATACAATGTTATAATACTAATGATGAATTTATATATGATAATGAAGTGTCAATGTCAATGTACAATGCTTATTTAAAGTTTTAATGATGTTTTGCCAAAACAACGTGCACGCATGGCACTAATATTCCACCCTGTAACGCTTCGTTGGCTAATAATTGTATGATGTTCGTACCTTCAGACTCAGGATGTGGCAGCAGTCATTACCAATTAGGATTTTCTGGTTCATTCACATCAATGAACTTCGACCCTCAAAACGACGTTAGATATGACAACAATGCAAAATGTAACTGGACCTTGGAAACATCCACCACACAACAACAGGTACGTATGACTTTGGAGCAAACAACTTCCATTTATAGCGTGTCAATTCACACGATAAGGTTGCTTACATTAAACACCATATGTTGTGGCTACTTGAACATACACAGTGTGGGGATGTGAAAACAAAACAAGAAAATGGTGACACTGTATTACAAAGCAACTCCTAGGGTGAGCTTGCACTTACAAGGTTAAAGCGCGGTAGTCGTCGCGCTGCGCATGTGCGAGATATATGGGTCTCATATAAACAAAGATGGCGACTTTGACTGTTGCGCAGATCAACGATTACGAACTGAGACGTTTCCAAGCTTTAATTAAGTAATTTTCATGTTATTGGAAGGTATCTAA